ACCACGTGGGTCTTCATTTGTCTCCTCACACAGCCAAATATAAAATCTTGATGGTTAGGGAAGACTGGTCTGAATCAACAAAGATGGGACCAGACCAGTGCTTTCATGGTCATAGAAAATGCCTTATGAGAAAACTACTATTGCCTAACAAGAGGTAATCCGTCCTCTATTTGAATACCCCCAAAGAGCGGGGAACTCACTACCTCCTAAGGTGGTGAGCATGCCAATTTCAACCCCCATCAGACCATGCTTCACCCCATCCAGCCACCCAGTAGGGCACCAGAGACTAGCAAAGGCAGGCGTCTCTCCACCTTTCCTGCTACCTTGTATTCCTCTCTCCTACCCTCATCTTTACCCCTTCCACCTTTTATCTCTTGCATTTAGCACCAGGGTGCATAGTAGGTGCTCAACAGGACTGAGAGCACTGTTGAGGCTGAGAGACTGAGCCAGTGTCTGTTTTTGCTTCCCGGGAGGCTCTTCCTGGTCCTTTAAGGAAATCACCATTCCGACTCGTATCTGGGCGGCTGGGCTGGAGCTTGCCAGGCGCAGGCGGGGCTGCCAGCAGGCTTGGCCTTCTAACTCATCCTGGCAGGCCCACCCGGGCACAGGGAACACCACCATTTATCAGAAATTAGACGTCCCCTGAGAGACTTAATTGAGGAAGATTGCTTCCTTAAAGGAAACAGTGACCCTCAAGACGTGCACCATCAAACGGAAAAGGTCACATCAAAGCAATAAGACGGCTTTGTTCTTTCCCCACCATTATCAGTTATGCATGAACAGCCAGATGGCAAATACACTTAGCATCCATAATTGGAGATATCGGAAGACTGGAAGGCCGGGCCCAGTTTAACTAGAAAGCTGAACTTGCTGCGTGTCTTTTCAGATTAGGGGAAGAGAGAGAAAGGAGCCAATTTCCCTGCCATCTCCCATTCATTCAGAATTCTGAGTGCATCCATCCACTGCCCAACATCAAACCTCGGAGTGTCTGGGTCTCGTGTTCTGGGAGCCACTTGCAAGCTCCAAATAGTTCATATCTCCAACACTTGAAAGAGACTGAAAGATAAATGGGAAAGGAAACCTTCACAAGGCACAGACTGGCACAAGTAGGGGATGAGTGCCCTCTGGGCCAGGATGTCAATTCTGACTTCTGAAGGAACTTGAAAGGGTCTCAATTCAGCCATTAAGCCCTTTTATTAAGGGTCAATGCAGGGAGTCAAAGGCAAGACATAACCAGGTGTGACTCATCAGGGAATTTCAGCACCTGCCCCCAAGAACAACATGGTCTGGGCAGTTTTCTGGCCAAAGCCCCTCCTCCACACAGCTCCGGCTGCTACAGGGTCTGCAGACCAGTTAAGTAATGGGAAAGCAAGTAGCTGAGCCTCAGAGAAGTGACTTTCCTCCAAGCCCCTGGGAAGCATCCAGTCAAAAATCTGAGTCTAGGTCCTCCAATGCTCAAGCTTCCCACTGCACTTGAGATCCCTTATCCTGGGCGAGAGATGGCTCCCAGCTGATCCCCCTAGCACCTGGGTAGAACTCAAAAGGCTTAGCCTAGTTACTAAGCCAGTTGGAGATCCCTCCATCTCGTCTCCAGTTGTAGGGGTGCTCTTCAATTTAAGAAATTCTCATCACTGCCTATGGGATAACTGCCACCAGGTGGCGCCATGATGCAGAGCCCCAGGCTTGCAGTCTAAACCAGAATTCAAAACCTGGCCTTAGACTCTTACTAGCTGGGTGACCCTGGGCAAGTCACTTAACCTGATTCCATTTCCTCACCTGTAAAATGAAGATAATAGCACCTACCTCCCTAGGTTGTTGTGAGATTTGTAAAGCATAATGCCTGGTACACAGTAGGTGTTTAATAAATGCTTATTTCATTCTTTCCTTCCAACCTTCCTTCCTGGCTCTGGCATTCGAGCCCTTCTACAACCTAGCTCCCAGCTTCATTTCTAACTTCAATATTCTTCATTTCTGTGCTTGTCCTGCTCCATCTTTACTTCTCCATCTGCTGAAGTCCCTCTCATCCTTCCTTCAAGGTCCAAACGTACATCCTTCTCTGCCCATCTTCCACTTCAAATGGTATACAGTGCATTGCCGGACCTTACAGTGACTTCATCACCTTTCACCTCGTGTCTTCCTTTCTCATGTGTGTGCTGCATCTTCTACTGACTGGCCACTGGACTGGATGCCCCTTGAAGGGAGAAACAGTCATCTTTCATCATAGGGTCTCAAGTCCTGTCTAAATGGTCAGTGCTTTGCACGTAGCAGGTACTTAATAAATGGTGTTCGGCCCCATACCATCAACTTCCCCAATAACTCTGAGTCGTGTTTGACTCTTCATGACCTCATTTGGGGCCTTCTTGGCAAAGATACTGGAGTGGTTTGCCATTTCCTTCTGTAGCTCATTTTACAGATGAGGAAACTGAGGTAAACAGGGTGAGGCGACTTGCCCAGGGTCACACAGCTAGTAAATGTCCGAGGCTGGATTTGAACTCATTAAGAAGAGTCTTCCTGACTGCAGGTCCAGCACTCTATCCATTTCACCACCTAGCTACCCCCAACAACTTCCTTGCCCTGTATACCCATCAAGGAATCTCGAGGCCTTAAAAGGAAGGTAAAATTCCTCAGATCCCAGAGGTGGGTCACCACCCAGGAGGTGACCAAGTCCAACACCTTGTCTAACAAATGAACAACCAACTACGACATTCCTAACAACTGGTCATCTGGCCTCTGCTTGAACACCTCCAGGGATGGGAAACTCACTACATTTTTTTTTTTTTTGGCTAGGCAATGGTGTTAAGTGACTTGCCCAGGGTCACACAGCTAGTGTGTCTATGGCCAGATTTGAATTCAGATCCTCCTGACTCCAGGGTCGGTGCTGTATCCACTGCGCCACCTAGCTGCCCCAACTCACTACTACCTTTTGAGGCAGCCTGTTGTATTTTTGGATACTGCTAATTAAGGCCTTTGGATGAAGGACTGAATCCGGCTGAGTGCATCTGCACACCCTTTCTTGCCTTTTATTTCTTGCACATACGCCAAGGTGAGATGATTCTCTCTCCTCCCTCCAACATCAGCACTGTTAGTATCCTGTGGCAGAAACACACAGTAATGCCGATGGAATCCGCTCCGACTGAGGGAGGGTCAGGTTGGCAATGAGAAAGACACAGAAGGGGCAGCTAGGTGGCACAGTGGATAGAGCACCGGCCCTGGAGTCAGGAGCACCTGAGTTCAAATCTGGCCTCAGACACATAACACTTACTAGCTGTGTGACTCTGGGCAAGTCACTTAACCCCAACTGCCTCAAAAAAAAAAAAAGACAGACACAGAGGCTGGCACCTAGAGCCCAGGCCCTGCTGCTCGGGAGACGAGCTCCTGGGCGAGATTCTTATGGTCTTCACTTTCTTTAAGGTGTGCAGCAGGAACCTGGCAAGCTCAAAGATGGAGGTGGTCACGACACGAGGCAATGAGTGAGGCAGCATCCTTTAGCCCAGCAGTCCCCGAAGTATCTCTCTGAACACACCTTGGCCACATTTTTGTGCCTCTTAACTTGTTAACCCTACCAGTGCATGCACACGGATGCTGTGTATTTGTGAGAGTGCACCCCAGGTCTACGGGACAGGGAGAAAGCTGTATTGTTACTGTTCTTACACTACCATTCCAATAAATGCCTTTGCTTCAAGCTACTTGTGTTCTCTGGCAGGAAGGATGAGGAAAACACACCTGCGGGGGGGCTCATGAGCTAGAGTTTTCAAGAGTGTGGACCCAGTGAATACCTTGAACCTCCAGGGAACCCAGTCTTCCACTGCAAGCTGGGGTTAGGGGTGGCTGAAAGGGGGTGCCACCTAATAGCTAGGAAGCACTTACCTCCACCTGGTTCTGCCTCCGTACCTGATCCCAGTTCAGCCCTCTTCCCCATAGCAGCCCTTCAAAGATGTGAAGGCAGCAATCACATTTCTGCCCACACCCTCTCTCACTAAATCAACATGCAGGTCCTCCTCCAAGGGTGGGGAGGTTCCTGTCCTGGTCACATCCCTTTTCCAAGGGGGATCTCAGTGTTCCTGGAGCCTGTCAAGGCAGCCTGCCCGACCTACATCCTTAGCTCAGAAGCTTAGTTTAAAGTGCTTTGCAAACCTCGAAGTACTAGATCAACTTCTATTCTCCCCTCCCAAAAGGGAGAGAACTTTTAATTCATTTCCTCAACAAAATGCTCTTTACAACATTAAAAAACCAAACCCCAATGAGAGCCAGCCAGCAGGGAGGCCAGCAGCAGACGCAAGGGACCCTGAGGAAAGGAGCCGCCCAGGCATGGTACAGATGCTAGGGCTGATCTTTCTCAGAAAGAATTCGTGGCTCCTCCCCATGACTGCACTCCCCCCCCCCCCAGGCCCAGCCATGTGGAAGCAACCCCTAGACCAGACACAGGGACCCCTGGCACACCCAGCTCTGGGGGGTTGCCACTGGAGACAAATGTGAATCCAAGACCTGAGGAGGTAGGGACATAGAGGAAGACAGCTTCTTTTCCCAGAACTGAGGGGCTCTTCTATCAGGCCTACAGGATACTGAGATTTGTTCTAGCAGGGTTCTCAGCCCATGTGTTTTAGGGAACTGAAGGACATCTTGGGGTGGGACAAGAGAGAATGAACGGAGCTATACAAGGTCAAAGCCAGAAGGGCCCTCAGAACATGGCATGTCAGATTCAGAAGGGGCCTTAGAACCAAAATATCAGAGCTGGGAGGGCCTCTAGAACACAGAATGTCAGAGCTGGGAGGGCTCTTAGAAAACAGAATGTCAGAGCCGGGAGGGCCCTTACAACACAGAATGTCAGAGCTGGGAGGATACTTAGGACATTAAATGTTATAACTGGAAAAGATCTCAAAACATGACAACAGCTGGAAGGAATCACTTAACTCAACTCCCACATCAAACAGATGAAGAAAAACCAAGGGAAGAAACTTGCCCAAGGCCACACAACAAGTAAATATTTTAAAGACAAAGGCCAAGTTTCATAAACCTGTTTCAACCAAGCAGGTCCGAACAAGGCCCCTCAGCCACCTCCTCCACCAGTGGGTCTCAGCAGGGCTCACACGCTGCCAGGAGTGCTCACGTCTAAGGTGAAGGAGCAGGGCCCAGGGGCTTCCGGGGCTGGGCACCAGGCACGGTCCGGCAGAAAACCAAGGCCCAAACCCGGTGTGCTCTTTTACTGGGGGGACAGAGAGAAGAGGGAGGACCTGGCCAACGCCGATGAAACCAATTTCTTACCGGTGACCTCCCTGCCACAGAGAACTGAGAGAAAAGGGACCCGGGGCTCCCAAAATTCAGAAGAAAGGGCTGCTTCTCTCACCCACAGCGGGAGCAGGGAAGAGTCAGGCAGAAGACAAGTCCATGGCCAGTCACAGGACAAATCTCATCAATGTGGTGGGATGGCATGACAGAGGTCAGAGGTCAGTTAACTTTTAATAAGGCAGAATCACAGGATGCTGGAGTTGGAAGTCCAACCCTCTCCCCCTTTGCTGAATGGGGAAACTGAGGCCCAGCGGGGGGGAAAGGGCTTGGCTCAAGAGCCTGAAGAGTGCGTGGCAGGGCTGCTTTCCCTGGCGCCAGCTCCACCCACCACACTACACTTTCTCAGTTCTGGGTTAGCTGCCACAAGGGGTCTAAACCCTAACCCACCCTGAGGATGAAGGCTAAAAGCTATCTACAGACTCAGCACCTTCCTTTCGCCAGCTTCAGACCTGGCTTTGGGTTCGTTTCTTAAAGTGCAAAGCTGTTGAGTCTTTGGACGAGAGAGGCTCCCGGAGGCAGCTCACGCCTGGGCCGCTCTGTGGGGAGGAGAGGCCGCTCACCTGGGCTGCAGGGCTCCCACCCTCCCTCCTTGGCCCCTCCTCCCCATAGAAGAACAGGAGGAGACCCCCAGGCAGCTCTTTGGGGAAGGAACGAGTTGAAACCGAGCAGCCCTGCTTGTGTAGAAAGAGAAGAGGTCAAAGAAAAGCTGGCCTCCCCCGGAGAGGAGCCCCGAGGCTGGGCATAATACTGGACACGCTACCCCACGGGAGACTCTCAACAACACTTGTGTCTGACCAAGAGTCCACTGAATAAATAGGCTCGAAGCATCCTATCGTTTGTCAAGGAAAAAAAGCAGGATAAAAAAATGCTGCATTAATAAAGCTTTGGTCTAGTGGCTGCCGGGCCGCGGGGGCTGCCGATGTCCTGAGGACGAGGGGACCCGCTCCTCCCCTTGCCCTGAGCACGACTCTGGTCCCTTTGCGTAGTGGTTGCTGGCCTCACGGGCCGGGCCGAGGACGCTCAGAAGCCGAAGAGGTCGTCCTGTTCCGGGGCCCCCAAGTCCGGTTTGTCCCAGTCCACTGGGGAGAGGCACTGAGCGTACTGGATGTCCTGGGCCGTCAGCCCAATGTCCAGGACCTGCGGATTCGTCCGTGACTGGGCCAGCCTGGAAGAGGGCAAGAGAGCGACGTGAGAACAGGGGCCTGCAGCCCTGGAGGAACATTACGAGAGTCAGCAGTGGCAAGGGCAGACATAGGACAGAGACTGTCTCTGACTCCGCCCGCCCGGCCTATCAGAAGTCTACAAAAAAGCTGTTGGCTTCAACCAGATGGGGGCCTTTGATCCTTAGAACACAGAGCCGGGAGGCAGCTGGGTGACAGAGTGGACAGAGCACCGGCCCTGAAGTCAGGAGGACCTGAGTTCAAATTCGGCCTCAGACACACACTACTCACTAGCTGTGGGACCCTAGGCCTCACCAAAAAAAAAAGAACTCAGAGCTGAGAGGGACCTTCTTGACTAGGGGCCCATGAACTTATAAACTGATTACAGTATTTCACAAGAACAGGTTTCCTTTGTAATCCTATGTATTTCATCTTATGCATTTAAAAACACTCCTCTGAGAAAGGGTCCAGAGGCTCCCCAGACTGCTAAGGAGGCCCATGACAGAAACTCTAGCCTGTAGGAATTCGTTTTGCTTGATTCTACATATTTGTTACAAGACATTTTCTCTTTCTTTCTTTCTTCCCTTCCTTCCTTTACTTTCTTTTTTTTTTTTGCAGGGAAGTAGGAGGCAAAGAAAATAAATGCTTGTTAACTGAAAAAAATTTTTTTTCAATCTAATGCAACTTACTCACTTCACAGATGAGAAAACTGACTCTACAGCTATGTCCAAGGTCACAAGGGTTAGTTAGCAGCTGGGCTGGATTACAAAATCCCACCTCCTGCCTCTCAGGCCAGGGCTCCTTCCCTTCTCCCTGGTGGTAAGAATGGAGGGGTGCATGCTATACAATTCCCTAAGATGGCTTGGGTTAAGAAATGCCCTGAGTAAGAGTAGGGACTCAGAGAGGAAGTGGGGGATGGGAAGGTTGGGGAGAGACAGATCCAGTGAGAGGGAAGAAGCAGATTCTAATGACTGGGGCCTTCCACTCAGCCATGTCAAGACCAAAGGAAAGAAAAAACTCAGCTGTCTCTTGACCTGGCCTCTCTGCATCCCATATCCTGCCCTGGAGTCAGAAGACCCGGTTTGAGTGTTGGGGCTCAATAATTACCCTCTGGGCAACCCATCTAAATTCCCTGAACCTCGAGTTCCTCATCTGTAAAATGGGACATCTCTGATCAGCCTATCTCATAGGCAGGGAAAGTGCTGGGCAGCCAGGAACTGGGGGGAAAGAGTAAACACCCATTGACTGGGGGATGGCCTGTGAATGGGAGGGAATAGTCTTATTTTTTGCAGGAAATGGTAAATAGGATGAACACGAAGCAGAGGAGGCAAAGTAGAGGAGCCCAAGGCAGGCGAACAACACATGTGAGTGACACCGAAGTCAGGTGGAACAAGTCAACTCAAAACCACAAAAGCGAACATTGAGAAATGATAAGGAGCCAAGCTGACTCAACAAAGAGCTAAGAGAAGACAGGGTCCTTGCCAGCGGGTGCTCAGGGAGCTGCACGGAACACCAGATTTTTTCCCCTGGGGGTGGGTTGGTTGTGATGACTTCCCCACCCCATTCTTTTTTTCTTTAAAAAAAAAATCTCTATTCTAAGGGATGGCTCAGTGGGTAGGGGAAGGGGAGGGCTGCATGGGGAAATCTGGGTGATGTTAAAACATAAACAAAAGATATCAACAAATTCTATTTTTAAAAAGAACATTAGAGAATGACCACAGGAATGGAAATGTCAAGAACAAGCCCAAAGATGAATGAACGACCATCTGTGTTCCCAAAGAAGAGAGGAGAAAAATGCAGCTGCCTCCCTTTCCTGGCAGAGGTGGGGGGCTACGGCTGTGGAAAACTGCACACGCTGTCAGACTCAGCTGAGGCGTTGGGCGGGCTGCCTGAGCTGTCTGTCTGCTTTTTTTCCTTCTTTGTTGCAAGGCAGGGCTCCCCACTGGGGAAGAAGGGATAAGGGATCCCTTGTAGAAACCAGGGATGGCAACAAAACACCAGAACAGCAGAACGAGAGTTTGCTAAACCAGAAAGTAGTGCACAACGATGGGCTACTGTTCTCCCCTTCCTGTTACTGGAGGCAGTGGGGGAGGGGAAAGGGGGCTGCCAGGGCTTCCGCTGCTACAAATCCTTGGACGTCCCCTGGCCTCAGGCGGCCCTTCAAATATAAATGCCGAGGGTGAACACGGGAGCCTGGGTGTAGGGGCTCAGGACTCACCCTGTAGTTACTGACTAGCCCCAAGCGAACTGTGATGTGCCAAGGGGAGGAGAGGAGAGAAGGGAACACAGGAGGGGTCATTCTGTAGTCAAGCCAGCGATCTCCTCATCCCTCTGCACTGGCCAGGGCCTCCTCCTCCTTTCACTGAAGTGGCCAGTTTTCCTTCTTCCTCTGTCTCTCTCTCCTTCTCTCTCTCTCCTCTCCTTACCTCTCTCTCCCTCTTTGTTTCTCTTCTCTCTCCTTCCCCCTCTTCTTCTTTCACTCCCTCCCTCCATCTGTTTTTTTCTCTTTTGCTCTTTCTCCCTCCCCCTTTTATCTTTTTCCTTCTTTCTCCCTCCCCTCTTTTTTTCTCTCTCTTCCTCATCCATCTCTTTTCTCTCTCTCTCTTTTGCTCTTCCCCTTCCTTCCTCTCCCTTTTCCTGATTAAATGGGGCAGGTTCTGTCTGCCTCGGTTGGCCTCTGTCTCTCTTCTGCCCATGAATCTAGGGAGGGGCTCTGCATCTTCCCCCAGGAGGCCTCCCCTGCTACGTCCCTCCAGGCTCCTGCCCAGTCCCTCCTAACATGGCAGTGTCAATTCAGTTACCTTGAGAAGGCTTCATCAAGACCGTCATCTAGCTCCTACGAGAAAATAAAAGGCCTGCGTTAGGACCCGTCCTCAGCCCGTCACTGATCTCACTTATGCTCTCCAGAACTAGAAGGGGCAGGGAAAGACTGTCCTACTGTATGCCTACAGGCTGAGGGGACTCTCAATCCCACCCTCAGCCTGGGCACGTGGGGCTGAGGGCCTGTATCCTCAAATAACCGATGACAGCTTCCTACAGCTGACAGAAGAGACCTTGGACCTCGATTTCCCCATCTGTAAAATGAGAGGGTGAAGCTAGCTGACCTTGAAGTCCCTTCTAGCTGTAAATCTATGCTTTTTATGAAATATTTAGGTTATCATCCAAAATGTCATTCTGCAATTATCCCAGACTTTAATCTTTTTTAAGGAGTTTGCATATAATTATCTTGGCTGATCCTCACTTGCAAAGTAGATATTATAAAAATACCCATTCTACAGATGAAGAGACTGAGGCTGAGCTGAGGGGACTTGTCCAGAGCGTCACAGTGAGTCAGGGAACAAGGTGGATCTGAAACCCAGCTTCCCCTGACTGCCCAGGCCCAAGGACGAGGACTTTGGAGCTAATCTCCCAGGGTGGGCCGCGCAATAGCAGACTGAAGCTTTCTGGGGACACAGATGGACGTTGGAGACCAGTCCCTATTGAATAAGAGGAAGTATTCTGTTCCAAGATGTCACTGTTTCCCCTCTTCCCCTCCCCCTTCCCACAGGTACTTGGGAGCCCAAATAAGTCACTGACCCCCTACGAAGCCCAGGTAGGCCAGGCACTGGAGCGGTCTGAGCACACAGCAAGGGCCGGGGGGGTAGGGGGGTGGTCAGACTGCACAGTCAAGGTGGGTGGGGTACAGTGACCATGCCAGCCTCACTCAGCTCAGCCTCTCTCTCCTTCTGCTCATCCTCCCACTCAGGGGACTCACCCAGACCACGTTGTTATTGGCCAGGGGCTCGGGCCTCCCCACCTCATCCAAGTTGGTGGCATTGGCACTCACGGTGGACAGGGGTGCCTTGGCGGTTTCCTCCAGGTCCAGCAGGTTTCCAGTGGTGATCGCTACAGAGGAGACCGCAAAGCAAAAGAATTTAGGCAGATGGACCCTCTCCCCTCACCTCTCCCCATGTGTCCTGAGTGGAAAAGGAATGGCCCGTCACCACCAACCAGAGAGCTTAGAACAGGAGAAGGGCACAGCATCAGAGCTGGAAAGGACCCCAGGAGTCATTTGCAATGGCTGCCTCTTCACAGAGAAGTAGACTCAGGCCCAGTGGGGTTCAGGGATTTGTCCAAGGTCACAGCGGTGCCCACGAGCAGATGACAGTCCTGCTCTTGGCCCTACTCTTTACCCCAACATCTTCCAACCCTCACACTACCTACAGGGTCTTCTGCCAAGCTCTACTCCAACACTCACTGCTCTAAGGGCCCTCCCAGCTCTGACATCCTGGGTTCTAAGGCCCCTCCCAGCTCTGACATCCTGGGTTCTAAGGGCCCTCCCAGCTCTGACATCCTGTGTTCTAAGGCCCCTCCCAGCTCTGACAGCCTCTGTCCTAAGGGCCCTCCCAGCTCTGACATCCTGGGTTCTAAGGCCCTTCCCAGCCCTGACATCCTGTGTTCTAAGGCCCCTCCCAGCCCTGACATCCTGTGTTCTAAGGCCCCTCCCAGCTCTGACATTCTGTGTCCTCAGGGCCCTCCCAGCTCTGAAATCCTGGGTCCTCAGGGCCCTCCCAGCTCTGACATTCTCTGATATGAGGGTCCTCCCAGCCCTCCCACACTCATCATGCTCACAAGCTTCCTTCAGATTGCTCCAACGCCCACCCCACCAGCCTGGCAGACCAGGTACATTCAGCTCCATTCCTGTCCTCAGCAGAACTACTGTTTCCTCATTAGGCCCTTAAAGCAGAGCCTTATTAATAAGAATGACAGATAAATGAAGAACATTCGGTTCCATTTCTTTAGTCCTTTAAAGCACCCGCACACCAGATCTCATCTGACCCTCACAACACCCTGTGAGCAAGGTATCAGACATATGTATTATGATTATCCAGGCCCAGCATACAGCAGGCTAAAGAGAGGCTAGCTGATTACACCCACTTTAGAGATAAGGACACTGAAGGTCAGTGATTGGTTAAGCGATTTGTCCACAGGGCCGCAGCGGAAGTCAGTATTTCAGACCATAACAACTCCTCTGCAGCTGGCATCCAGGAATCACAGACCCCCATACCATCAGTGCAGCATGCAGTGGGAGCTGGGAGGGGAAGGGGCCAAGATGCAGGTGTTCAGAGCACAGCTGGATTTCTGCTGCAGCTCTCCAGGAGCCCCGTGCCCGCCCAAGCCCACAGACTCACGGCCCTTCAGAGAAGGGGAAGCGTCCCGCCGAGCGCCACAGGCGACCTCTTCTAAGCTTGCTTTCTCTCGTTTCTCTTTCTCTACAAACACCAATGGAACAGAGGTCAGGGTCTTGGGGGGAAGGCAGGGGAAGGGCCTGGATCAGGGGTGGGGAACCTGAAATTTTAAAATTTGGATTCAGTCAAAATGCTGCACTTAAGGATCTAGAAGGCCTCATGTTGGCCTTATGGCCGTATATAGCTTTCCCACCCCTGGCCTGGACTATCAGGGGAAGGAGTGCTGGTGGTGTTGGGGAAGGAAGGAATTTTTGGCAATCTGGAGGGCTGAGGACAGAGTTGGAGCTGAGCAAGCAATGAATGGGGTGAACATGCTTGTCGATCAAGTTGTCATGACCGAGCCTGCAAGCTCCCTCCCTCCATGCCCAGGCAAGACTCACCTTCCCTGGACACCTGCCAAAGCTCAAAGGCGACTTTGAAGGCCTGGGCCACTGTGAGGGTCACTGCCTGTGCCTGTGAGAGAGGAAAAGGAAGAAGCTGAGCGCTCAGCCGGATGAGGCCCTCACAACAGAGACTGGAGAAATATTTTAGGTTACATTGGATGAACCAGGGAATGGAGGCCACGGGTCCAAACAAGAGCCAAGGAAACGATCCCTGTGAGCAGGCAATCTATCCAGGAGCTGGCAAAGGAAAACACTGATTCCCCTCTGGGGCTGAGGGAGTCACCCCCCCACCCACAATCCCTGCAAGTGCACACAGAGATGAGCCCTGAACCACCGCCAAGAGGAACAGATGAAGAGGGCCTGGTGGGGGATCCTGGCGGCCAGATGCAGGGCACTCCGCATCACAGGACCTAGGAGGTAGAGCACCTGTCAGAAAGTACCTAGTCTAACCTGTACTTGGAACGGAAATCTCCTCTAGAACACTGCTGTCAAAGGAGCTTCCAATGAAAAACTTCAGAACGAAGGTCGAGGACTGATGGAGAGGCGTGCCTCCTGCTATCAGCTGAGGTGGTGGCCTGTGGAAGCTGAATGAGGCTGACATTTTCAGACAGGTTGATTTATTTTGCTTAACTGAATGTTCTTATGAAAATCAATTCTAAAAATGGTTATACAGCCTTTCCTTGAAGGGCTCCAGCGGTGGGGAGCTCTACCTCCTAAGGCAGCCCGCTGCTCCATTGTTATAATGCCCATTCCTCAAACTGAACTGAAATCCACCTTCCTGTAATTTCACCCCAATGTTCTTCATCCCGCTCTCTGTGGCTACACCAAATAAATCTACTCCTTTCTTTCACATGACAACGCTTCAAATATCGCCTCCTAAGAGGCAACAAGGTGGTGAAGGAGATACAGTGCTGGGCCTAGAGTCAGGAAGACCCAGGTTCAAATCCACCCTCAGGCACTCACCAGCTTTGTGACCCCGGGCAAATCATTTAATCTCCATCAGCCTCAATTTCCTCATCTGTAAAATGGGGATAACAACACCACCTACCTCTAAGGCGGTTGTGAGGATGAGATGAGATACCACTTGTAAGGTGTCTAGCACAGTGCCCGGCACACAGTCGGTGCTCAATAAATGCTTCTTTCCTTCCTTCCCTCTTTTCATCCTTTGCTCTCTCTTTTCAAGACCGCCCCTCTCCAGCCTAAGGAAGCCTAGTTAACCAGCCTTCATGCAGCATGGTCTCCCCTTTGCCCCCAGCTCGGATGCTCTCTGATCCCCCTGCCCAGATGAGCTCAATTCATCAACTTTCCTGAACCGTGGCCTCCAGAACGGAATGTAAGTGGGCGGCTGTGGTCTGATGAAGACAGAGGAACAGTGGCGCTATCAGCTCCCTATTCAGATCCTAGGCCCCTCCTGGATGCACTGCTGACTCATCCTGAGCTTGCAGTCCACTAAGACTCAGAGGTCTTTTTTTTAGCCTCTAGCTGAGGCAGAAGCTGGGAGCCCTTGCAGATGCTGGGAGATTAGGAGAAAAGAGCAAAAGAGCCTTGCAAAATGAGGGAAGCAAAGACAGAGGCTGCCAGAAGCCCTGTTCCTCCCCTTCCCTAACCTGCACTGCTTCCCTGGACAGCCCTGGCTGCCTTTCTGGGATGACGCAGCTCTGATCTCATTTCCCCACCAAGGCCTTCTCCTCCTGGGGTTTGCCAAGTTGGGCAGTGCTGGGGGCTGGGGCAGAGGGAGAGAGCTGTGATAGAGCCCAATCATGAGACAAGGGGCCGCAAACAGGGTGACTCAGAAGAAGCTGGGGAGGGTGGGTTACCATGAAAGGCTGCTTGCAGGTCCCAGCTAGGAGGAGGAATTGGAAGGCCACAGGGGAAGCCTGAGGGTATCAGCTCAGCCCCCTTGGGTTTCCTTTTTTCCAGGCTGGCTCCTACAGAGCCAGTCTTCAGAAAGGATCTGGGATCCCTAGCAAGGAATGAGACACACGATCCAGCCAGCTCAACAGGGAGCACGATAAGAGATGAAACTGAAGAGTTTCTGGTTCCAGAAGCAGCAAAGGGCCAGAAATCTCCACGTCTTGTGACCTTATTTCCTACTGCTCACCAAAGACAGCCACTGTCTCAGGGTACCCATCCCTGTTCAAGACAGCCTCAGCCTCAGCTCAGGCAGTGTCTCCATTTTTATTTTTTATTATTTTTTGTGTGTGTGAGGCAATCAGGGTAAAGTGACTTGCCCAGGGTCACACAGCTAGTAAATGTCAAGTGTCTGAGGCCGCATTTGAACTCAGGTTCTCCTGACTCCAAGGCCAGTGCTCTATCCACTGCCCCACCTAGTTGCCCTTCTTTAAGGAGGCAGCATGGCCTAGCCAGAAGAATACAGGACTGGGGTGAGTCAAGACACCTGAGGTCTACTTCAAGTTCAACCAAGGTATAACCCTGACACGCTCTGTTCTAATGGTCCCCCCATCTCTGACATTCTCTTGTGTTCCAAGGGTCATCCCAGGTCTGACATTCTGTGTTCTAAGACTCTTTCTGGTTCTGACACTCTGTTCTAAGATTCCTCCCAGTTCCATATTCTGTATTCTAAAGCCCCTCGCAGCTCTGACATTCTATGTTTGAAGTACCTTTCCAGCTCTGACATTCTCTGATATGAGGGTCCTCTCAGACCTCCGAACACTCATCATGGGCTCACAAGTTTCCTTCAGACTGCCCCCAACGCCCACCCCACCAGTCTGGCAGACAAGGTACCCACGCTTCCCCCAAAGATTTCTCTTTTTCTTTTCCCTCCTTCTTGTATAGGCCCAGCCTGAGGGAGCCTCATGCAGCTGTTCTAAGGCCATTTCTAGCTCTGCTACCCTAAGTTCTAAAGGCCCTTTAGGTTCTAAGAACCCTTCCAGAGCTGATATCTCTATGGCTTAATGTCCCTTGTAACTCCAACACTCATCACACCAATGGATATGGGTGTCGGCAGGGGATGGGAGCCTTTGGGCAGGAAGGTGGGAATATCTGTATATGAACCTGCAGATGATACAAAGGGACTGAAAGCCCTCACTCCCCCCTGATTTCCTGGGAGGGGTTGGCGTATGGAATCTAGCATCGGGGCACCCAAATCTTGCCAAGATGCAGGGCTGTCTGACTCGGGTATATAATTAGTTCATATTTTTAGTTCATGGCCAATTCTCAATGGTAACTGGATCTATTAAACTTGATTCCAACGTGACAGCTTAAATTGTAAACAGCTGTGAAGAGTTTCATACTTAATTACCATATTTGAGTTTTGCCATAAAGTATTCGCATTTCCATCAAAAATGTAAATGCCAGAGACATTCAAATGAGATTTTATACTTCATGAAGTTTAATTGGCACAAATCACTCAGCATGTTGGGGGATTTTCAATGTTAAAAACAAAACAAAAAAAACCCAACCACGTTTATTTCTTTTTTTAAAAAAGGCAACAGGCAACAATTCATATCTCAATTAAATCATGTTGTTTTGGGGAATGGACCTTGGGGAATGGAGGGAAGGCTCGGGAAGGGTAGGGAAAGCAGGGAAGATGGGTGTCTGAGCTAACTCTGCCCCCACACTCTGCAAGGAGATGGGGGATGGAGAGTTAGGCTGACACTTTCTGCCCAGGTCGAGGTGCTTTTCACAGAGCCTCTTCTGCACCTGAGACAGGCCCAGATAGAACCAAATCACCCTTGAGAGACTGACCCCAAGCCAGCTGGAGTCACCGAGACCCAGCGTTGGCGAGGTCAGTCTCAGATAAGCCACCCAGCAGAAAGGGGCCGTGGTGGTCAGCTCATCTAATCTCCTCATTGTATAAAGAAACAAATGGAGGCCTAGAGAGGGGGTGAAAAAGGTAGAGCCCAGATCTGTACCCCGATCCTCTGGCTCCTGCTACAACTGCCATTACAAGTGGGAGGGGATGCTGACACAGGGCTTCCCTATGGGGGACGAAGTTTCAATTGGCTTAGTCTGGAAGGGAGAGAACTCTGAGAACATCCCAGAATCCTAGAGCCAAAAGAGATTTTAGAAGGGGCAGCTAGGTGGCACAGTGGATAGAGCACTGGCCCTGAAGTCAGAAGCACCTGAGTTCAAATCCGGCCTCAGACCAAACACTTGACACCTACTAGCTGTGTGACCCTGGGCAAGTCACTTAACCCCAATCGCCTTAAAAAAAAAGAGAGAGATTTTAGAGCAACGAATGGAAGAGCCAGAAGGGGCTGGCCCCAAAAGAGACAGAGGGGGAGGGACCTTGGAGATTCAGCAAGCATTTATTAAGCACCCACTGTCTTCGAGCAGTGCTAGGCACTAGGGATGAAGACACAGAAATGATCCCTGCCTTCAATGCCCCTTCATTTTGCAAATGGAGAAGGGGAGGCCCCGAGAGGTCAAAGAACCTGCCTAAAGCCCCATGGTGAGCTGGCCTCTAGACTTCCAGTCCAGGGTTGGGCACACTAACGTGGGAAATGAAGCAGAAGGAGCAGGTCTAGACTCTGGAAGGGAGAAGCAGGGTCTGGGGTAGGACTGGGGACTGAAGCTGGACATGGAGAGAACTAAGGTCCCTGAGCCATTTGGCACAGAAATTGAGCCTTCCCTCCCGTGGCCTCCTGACCATGCCACGCCTCCCCTACCACAACCCTGCTCTCACCAAACTCTACCTGGGCCTGTAGTGACTTGGGCTCATGCCTCACCTCCACTACCACAAGGCCCAGCCCCTCAGGGGCTCGAATCTACAGAGTGGGCAGTGTGGCCTCATGGAGGGAGAGCTAGCATGAAGCCCAGAAGACCCGGGTTTGGGTCTGTCTCTGACATACACTGAACGTGTGACCCTGGCCATCTCATTTAACCTCTCAATGCGCCGAGGCAACAGAGGATTCAGAGAAGAAGGTACCAACCTGAGAAACGGGGAGAGGAATTCCCTCTTCTGAGAGTTCCTTCTTACTAATGAAATGACAGGGCCAGACCCTCTTCCTATCGCATCACATGTAAAGCACTTCAGTTTAAAATCTGTTTCTCTCATAGCAACCCGGAGAGTTAGGATGGCGAGCCATGACCACAGTGACAAGGGGG